TATGGCGATTTTCTGAATAAACTGAAAGTCAATTTATAGAAAATCGATTCGATTTTCTAGAAAGTAGAAAATCACGAATTTTTAAAATGTCAGAAAATCTACGAGCATTTTATAAATATCAGAAAAAGCTGCACAATTTTCCAGATCGATTTTCTATAAACTAGAAATTAATTCCAAATTACAGTGTAGGAAGAGGATATGTATTTCAACTTAGGGCTTTATTTGTCTTCACTTGACGTTAGTCAGTGCCTTAAAATACAAAATGTTTCTCTCTGTGGATGGTGACACTCTAGCCATCCTTACTCATTTCGTTGATAACTTTTAGCATTAAAATTGACCAAAGCTATGGATTTTGACGAGCCCATTCAGAGCGATTCAAAAGGAAAACCAAAGTAGCTATTGAACTGATTCTTTCTCCATTATAACTCATACGGTCTAAGCTACATTTTAAGTATAAATAAGAAAATATTTCTTTACTTTTTTACCATTTATAGCGATTACGAAAATGCTTGAGAAATCTATGTTCGACTGATTTGACGTATTCTGCCAAATAACGAGTTCTAAAGTTATAACCTTGAAAATTAATAAGTACAACTTTTTGAGCTCCGTCGTCTAGTATATTTAGAAAAATTATAAAATGTTTAAGAAAAATGGAAATAGAGCATTTCTACACTCTAAAAATAAACATAAATTACAAGATCAAAAAAGCGTTTTTACATTTGCAATAATACGAAATGCATTTTTGTTTTGTATTTAGAGCGTGAAACTCTTCTCGTTTTTAAAAATACTGCTTAAATAGTACATGGAAAAAACGATTAAGCGTTTAATATTGTATTCAGTATCCGTTCGTCATTTTTGAGAAGTTCATAGTACGTATAAATGAGAAGGAAGACTAGCTTAACTTCATGGATGTTTATCTATTCTATCCCAATAGGATTTCTTAGCAGAAATCCAGGTACGTTGACGAACATCTTCATGTCTAATAACAGATGATGAATCTATCCTTCAACGATTAATTATCCAGCTTCAAAGTTGATATAAGCTTTTTTGGGGGGTGTAAGAAAAAAAATGTTAATTTCCGCTGGGAGGAAAGGACAAATTTTTATTTTTAGGGGGTGTAGACCAGAGAACCGCACGGGCCGGGCCGGATCAAGGATTTTTTGGGTAACATAAGAGACGAAGTCATTATCAAGAAAATTTTCAGGAGTTGTCGGGCCGCGTCAGATAAATTTAATCTTCGGTTGGTCCGAATCAGACTTGATCCGGAAACTTCCTTCATCGGACCGGGTCGGGCCTGAAATATTCGGTCCGTGCGGATCTGTGATTCGAACATATAAACTTAGCTTTGCAGTAACCTGCAAAACTAAATCCACTGTTCTGTGTCTATATTCTGTACAACGATTGAAATTGTTCAATCGACTCGATGCTAGCTCAGAGTTAGTTATACTCTGTAAAAAAAAAATATATATATTTCAAGAAAAGTGAGTTCTTAGAAAAGTATAGAATTAAAAATGATAATGAGCCTGATAGTAAAACAGCAACAGTAAAACAAAAAAGCAAATAAGATTAAAAAAACGCAAAATAAATAATAACTTTTTTTATTACTAATCTCACTTATTATTAATAGAACTTAATACTCATAGGTTAACGTACATATGTTTATTAATAATTGATGAACAGTTACCATTAGAAGCACCAAATCTTTACTTATTCAGTTCAAATAGTCGTGTGAAAGTACATTTAGGACCCACGCGAAGTAAGGTAGTGCCCACAATGCAAAATTAAAGCAAAAGTTTATTTCTGCACTTATTATACACCATCGGATAGACCATTACGATTCATAAGTCGACATTTCAAATTTTATCGACTGATCAAGAAAATGTATTTTTTAATTTTTAAAAAGAATTGATTTAGGGTGAAAAACTGAAAATACTTGAAGGACCTACAACGTTGAAAAATCCTTCAAGTTCAAAAAAGAGCTCAATACCTGAGTTTCAGACTACTATACAAATTTCAAAATTCCTATTCAGCCTTGAAAACTCAATAGAAAAATGGTTTTTGATTCGGTCGCCATCAGGATATGCCATTTCTGTTGATTACGAGTATCCTGGCAAACAATTATAATTGTATGTATCTGAGTTAGGCTTGGGACAGTTCCCGTTCCCATTACTAGTAACTGGAACTACTCATCAGTTACCGTTACTAGTAACTAGAACTGGTCGCCAGTTACCGTGTTGTACGCTGGTCATGACTCGATTACATTCGACGATTTTCTTCGATTATGCTCGAATCTTGAAGTAAGGTGCTTAGTGAAATTATGTTTTTAGATAGTAAAGTCTTTTGTGTTTTTTCAGAAATTAAAAATTGAGTACCGACAAAAACATGGTGGTCAAACGGCGTTAGATGGAAATGATTACGATAATTACTTATTAACTAGACTGAGAGTGATGATTTAAAGTGGTCACTCTCCTCCTATCAATTTTAGAGAAGAATAAACATTTGAATAACTTTTCAATAAATGATCTGTGGTGAATATAAATATATATTGTAAATGTACACTGTGAAACAACAGGTTTGAGAATTTTTTATAATAGACATTTAAAAAGATCTTTAAAGAAGCAATTCGTATCGTAGAAATTTCAAAAAAGAAAAAAATTTCCATTATTTTATTTGGATAGATAGCAGAGACCGAAACGGGTCGGGTCAATGTTCGGATCGAATAAAAAAACATTTCGGGTCCTGTTCGGACTACCGGAAAAAAAATTTTCGATTTTTCATGGATTTTCTGCAAAAAATCTAAAATTACACTCCCTTTTTTGGGGCACAAAAATTTTGTTTTCTTTCGGATCAAGGAAAAACATTTCGAATCAGGTTCGGGTCAAATGAGTTAGACCCTATTCTCAGCCCTAGTCTCAAGTGTCTGCTTCGAAACAAAGTCAAGCGAGAGCTGTATTTTTAACGGTTTATTTGTGGTGTCGACTGTAGGACGGAATTGTTTCTCGAACTGGAACAGGAAACTGACTGAAAGTGTAAGTGATTCGTGATCATACGCTTATCACCGTTATATTGATCAACTTGGGAAAAAAATTGTCTTAACCCTCTATCTACCAAGAGGTCATTCATGACCCAATCGTAGAATTGTTATAAAAAGATAATGAAGCATGTGATAAAAAATGGATTGCTTTTTACAGCAAGATAATTCCATAAGGTATCGATTGGTAAAAAAGACATTTTGTTTCATTGCTCTGTCTCTGGAATATATGATTTACAAATCCGATAAATTTGAAAATACCTACAGGCAACAAACATCTTGAGGACGTACTGTGTGATACATATCGACAAAAACGTCTAGTAGTGAATTAAGCGCGTTTCGAAAGTTTCACAAGAGATAGGCGGATAGGAGATGGTAACACATAAAATGGACACTGGAGTGGTCATTGGAGAAGGAGGCGGGGAATGATGTAGATTACACATATATTATTTAAAATCTTATCACATTAGCAGTTGAAACAATATTTACTACCGATAAAATTTTTCATCGATGGTATTAAATACTTGAATAAAGCCAGATGCGTTTTCCTACACGTGTTCTTAAGAAAATATTTTTTCATGTATTCAGCTTTCCTTTGTGCATATTAGTTAAATAAAAAAACAGATGTCATTTGTGGCAAAATCAACACTGTCATAAAAGGGAGAAAAGTTGGATTTTTTCAGGTCGTTCTACTACCTCCGTTCTTCAACGATCACTGGAATGACCAAACTACCCTTCGCAAAGGACAGTCCGCCTAGTCGATCTGTTCATACTACCGACATATTGAAGAGACCAATACTCTATTCGTGTGGTGATTTTGTCAGTGGCTCTTCGGGAACCGCTATGGTAGGTGAACGGTTAATTTTATCCTGCAAAACATAATCTAATTATACTTGTTTCATTAGCTCAATTTTTTTCTATATTGATAAATTCTTCAAACATGGATATATAACTCAGAAGTTAAGCCTCGATGTAACACACCCCAGGTCCAATAGACACGCTCGTAAACGACCGCATACGGCGACGTACGGCGATATACATCAGCCTATACGGCGGTTGTATTACGCCGAAATACGGCGGTTTACGACTGCCGCATACGGTGAATTTTTGGTGACCTGTCTTCCTCGGAATTCCACCGCAAAATGTATTCTTATAAGTTTTCCGATATAACTAGTGTTCGTTATGTGATCAAAATGGCGTCAGATTGTTCTTTTGATCAACTATCCAGATCCAAAAAAACGGCGCGTTAACGTTCTCAAAACGGCAAAAAAACGGCCAGTTGGTGGCCAATCTCTCGGCGGCACCTTACAATTTATTTCCACTTCAGCAAACTATGGTTTCTATACTATATATGGAAGTTTGATGGAAGCTGTGGTAAGGTATTTTCATACATGGGAACCCACGCGTGAAAAGTCATGGTATTTATTGCAAACATGAATAGCAAATTCACACTGTTGTTTACATAACCAGAATGTGCTGAATTTATAATTCTAGGTACGTGTGTTCGAATCTCAATCCTGGCAAACAATTATAATTGTATGTATCTGAGTTAGGCGTGGGACAGTTCCCGTTCCCATTACTAGTAACTGGAACTACTCATCAGTTACCGTTACTAGTAACTAGAACTGGTCACCAGTTACCGTTCGCAGTAACTGGGGCTGGACATCCGTTACCGTTTTCTGCATAATCAAGATGTAGAAAAACTGATACTCATTTATCTTGTTTTTTATACTATAACAAACTCATCTAGTTCAGCCCCAACAGACCATACTGCCATGTTGTTAATATAAAGAATACATATAGAAAATCTTTATTTGACAGCTTTTAGTCTTTACAGACAAATATTACTCTGCATAATCACTCCGAAAGCGGCAACATTACAAATCACAATTTGTCTTTCAGAAACATTGTGTATTTGATACTTTTTGATGATAATGATAATCGATTTTTCCGTGCTACATAATTGGCGATGCTAAATGCCGACTCACTGGGTACCGATGCCGCAGGTATGGCCATATACTTTTTCGCGAGACGCATCAAGTCTGGCATCGTTGAACCATATTTTATCCAGAAAGTTGTAAAATTATAGCCGTTTTTCGAAATCGAAACCAGTTTTGCGAGCTGTTGCTGCACGATAAGAGATTTTGTCACCGTAGTGGTCGAAGAAATAGTCGATTTAAAGCACATTTGTTGAGAAATTTTTGAAATTTTGGTGGTTTAGAAGATGTGTCAGTGGTTGAAGCTAATACAGTTGATGATGCACTAGTGGAAGGAGCTGGAATCATCGGCATTGGTTTAGTCATTTGTTTAACTCGTCTTCGATGAACTTTTCTGCTTCCACTTTGTCTTCTTGAGACATAAAATCGTGTACTTTTGGGTCAAGCAAAGCTGAGGCCTAGTAGAAAATAGTCATATTTTAAAGCTGTTTCTTCATGGAAAGCATTTATTAAATTACCATTATCTATTTCAAAAAGCAGTGTCATCTCTTGTTTTATGAAAAAAGTTCAAACAAAAGAGATAGAGACTGGCGGCTTTTACCAGCTTGTTACCTGAGAAAATGATCCTGCTGGAAAATAAAGTTTAAAACACCATCTCAGGTGGTGTACCAGTATGGTGCAACAGTAGACTGATGTGCCGAAACCACTCTGTGTTATTGATTTTTTGAAAATAAGGTCAAAGGTTTGTCTCAAAAACCTATCGTTCGATTTAATTGTTTGAAGAATGGAACTGAGAATTGAATGATTATGGGTAGAAAGAATCTATGTTTTTCAATGTCAGCTACGTTCAGTTCCGTCACAGATCGTCTCCTAAGATATACTGTTGAATACGCTACATTTCCTGCCATGGATCAAATATGTCAAATATGTCAAATATGCCATGGATCAAATACTACTACTAAACTCGAAAGGTAACTTCAGATACATAATGATGCAGAAAAGAGACCTGTTGATCATCATCTTTCCATATTTGATCCATGGCAGGAAATGTAGTGTATTCAACAGTATATCTTAGGTTTTCTGCATCATTATGTATCTGAAGTTACCTTTCGAGTTTAGTAGTAGTCTTACTTACCAGTATGACATTTTTTTGAAGTACACCCACATTTGATTCAAAATAATATTTGAATGTTTTCAGGATCATAAGATTTCGCTTTCCATCGTCTTATCTTTGAGATAAAACGATAATGAGTATGACACCAAATAGGTAAGTGACAGAGTTGGGTAACTTTGTCCACTAAGTAGTTCGGTTGTATCACTGAAGCGTTCTAAAATTTTTTTTAGATTATGAAGCAACGTCCACTCCTCCGGTGAGAGCTCAAGTGATCGTAATTGTGATATTTGTTTCTTTGTAAGACCATAATCCGTAGATATATTTTCACAGAATATCGATAACGGTTTTTGATACAACAAAAATCTTTGTACAAGACAATCCGGTCTTCCATTTTGTCCGACACGTCGAATTCTAAAGATTGATCTTCTGTTGCAATAACTTTTTTCGCTTGCTGGTAAAGCAAAAACGCTTCTTAGACCAAAGCCAGTATTGTTGACAGAATTTTACCACTATTTTTTTACTGTTTTCGTTGTCTCTTTTGCAGG